CTATAACAAATCCCACTCCATGATGTTCAATGACTTTATTTGCTGTTTTGGCTTTTGCTTTTGACTTTGCGTTTGCGCGCCTGCCAGGTCGGTTGACCTGAACAGACCTCGGATGCTGTTCTTGCACATTAGAGCTAAAAACGAACTTGAATTTATCACCAGTCTTGTCTTGCACTTTTGTTTCTTCTGAACTGGAACTGACTTTAGTTTCTTGTATGGCCATGATGTCGATGCGGTGTTCTCGCATAATCTGCATGATTTGTTCGCGCTTTCCTGCTTCAACAAGCCCTCGGCAATTTAAAGATGCAACGGTGACTTTTTCCGCATACCTTAGCTTCGTTGCTGTCGTGTTGTTGGGTGAATGAGAATTTCCATTGTGGCTATGGCAACTCTGACTATTGTGGTTATGGTAACTTTCTGACACGCATTGATTTGACGAACTTGATCTGTTTCTTTTCTTGATTCTCGTTCTGGTCTTCCTTTCGGCTTTTCGTTGGGTTATAACTTGTCGTTGTCTCTTCCATGTTTGTATGAGACAGTCATGTTGTTTTTTACTATGTCTAAGCAACTTCTTGGCATTATGCCGATCGCTGTGTTTCTGAAGTGAAGATGATAATTGTGATGACGCCTGCGTGTAGTCTTTAAGGTTTGTTCTCAGTACGTTAGCTTCTTGGATTGCATCACCAATTGGAGAGGCTGCAATCATCTTCCTCACCACTTCGCTGCTTGATGATTTTATTTTGCGCCAATTTCGGCGGTTCTCAGTTCTGTTTTCGTTCCATTGTTTATAACGGCTAAATCTCCGGATACTGTTCCTATTTCCTCTTCTCGTTTTATATTTATACGCACAAACTTGATTGTGAAGCAGCTCGGTGTGGGTCGTCATTCTGATGACGCTGCTGGCTCGGATCCTGGGTAGTGTTTGGGGCGGGGAAACCTGTCACATCACAAAACTGTTTATTTTCCAACGGCTCCGACCGCGCTGTCAACCCGGCTCGCCTCATGAAGGCGGGAGCTTTATAAAAACGATTGTACTTATGGTAAGGTAGGCCTGTGTATTGATAGATTACCTGATGTTTAGAGGGGACGGAAGTATTTATCGGGTGGGGTAGTGTGTATTCCCTCCTATAACTGCCATATGAAGATTGAGAGCTTCGGACTTCGTCCGCCGCGTATTCACACTGAGATTCACACTGAGGGTCTCCACCTGAAGCCGTGTATCTAGTGACTGCGTCCATCGTATGTTCACACTGAGATTCACACTGAGATCTGCCATATGAAATGATCGATGCTTGTACCCTGTTCGTGACATGTTCACACTGAGATTCACACTGAGAGCTGCCCCTTTGGAGCGCGTTACCCCTCTTCCATCATCTCTTGTGCTTTCTCTTCATCCTTCAACGCCTGCTGTACATGCACATTACTCTTCCAATCATGTACAAGAATGAATTTGGTCCAATACGGGTTTCTTGCATCAAATGCAAAGTCCATAGCTGCATAAAGTCCCTTGCTACTGCCCTTTCTGCCCTCACCATGCTCTTTGCTCTTTCCCTTGCCTTTCCCTCTCCCTGTACTCGCTGATATCCTCTCGACGGTGGCTTCGAAATGAGCCTGCACATCATCAAAGATTGACTCATCAGCGAAAACAGAACATGTCGCATTTGCATAAGAGAAATGGAGCCAAATGAAGTAGTCGTGAGAGTACTTGATGCGAACCGCGTTCTCGTTCCACACTGGGTAAAACTCCACACTGTGACCATTTATGCATTCCATGGCTGCTTTCAGGAATCGTCCTCTCAATCGCGCATCTTCGCTAAGCGACTTTCGAATGCGAACTTCATGATTGGATTCTCGCCCGGTTGCCATAGACCACCACCAAAGCTTCAATCGCTTGTGAATGTAATTGTCGAGGAACCATTGAAAGACTTGATTCCGGTGCCATCCCGAAGAAAAATTTATCACGATGATGTTGCTGAGCTCGCCCCTAGTGTTCATCAAACTTTTGATGGCGTCGCGATCTTTTGATTTGGATTGATGAAGTACCCACTCTGCAAATGCGTTACGGTCTTCTTCGCTGGCATCTTTTGGAAAGCCTTCAATGGAGAGCGAAAGCGAGGCATTCCTCGCGTCATCTTGTAGCTTCTTCTGTAAAAGATGTGCATTAATACGACCATGAGACTCCACATCATATGTTGTGTCCTCCAGCTGCTGCTGCATCGTGTCTAAACGCTTGTTGGTGTCCTCCTGCTCTGTGCGCTGCCTTTTCCTCAACAAACGTAGCTCCTTCTGCATGTCCTCAACTGAGATTTCTTCTGTGTCCATGCGTTCTTCTTCTGATTCTGTACCTGGTTTGTCTGATGAGCTGGCGTTGGAATGTGAACTTACCGATCGTCTACGCTCTTCTTTGGCTGGTGGCATCTTCAGGGGAGTCTTTGTACCATCACTACGGACGGGAGTGCTGACTGTCATGTCCTGCATGCGAAGTGTCGTGAGTGCCATAGAAGGTGTCTCACTCTTTGATGCTTGCGTCTTTCTGGATTCCTCTGATATACTGGACTTGCGTGCCTCTGAACTCTCCTCTTCTGACTCACTGAACCTGGTTCTTTTTTCTGGCGCTGCAGCTTCTGCTACTGGCTTGTTCTCGTCTGGTTGTGTTACACTTTCCTTTTTCTTCTCGTTGTGCTCCGGCGTGAACTCCAAGCGCTTGCCTGTGGTTTTCTTCTCTGCCTCCTTGGCGGCTGCCTTCGTTGCTGCATTTGCTTTGTCCTCCTTCTTTGCTTGATCTTTTGGTTTGCGAGCATCTTTGGGTGTTCTACTTTTGTCTCGTCCCTTTTCCATGGCTTCTCGACCTACGGTAAACCTACGCTCCCATGCTGCGACCCTCGAGACACTTATACACAAAAAGATAAGACATGTTCAGGACTCTTAAGATCGACAATACCAAACCAGTGATGTAACAACGGGAATGAAATTAAAGATGAAACTTCTAGTGGTATCCAATTGCAGTACTTGAAACTGGTAAATAGGTTGCCTATACAGTAACGTGGTGATAAGCAAATCAGTAACTGTGCAAACAAATGAAGTAAGCCTGATTAGCTGATTATGCCTTCAACTTTACTTCGAAGTAAAAGAACGTTTAGCATACGACAGTACTTGTATTTTATGTATACATCCGCACAGTTTACACATACATCTCAAAAAATAGGTACTCATACACATTCACGTATGTGTACCTATATACATATATATATATGCATACATACATACATATTTCACACGCACATGTATCTATGCACATCCAAGTTTTCTAGTATGCTGTGAAGAGCCTATGTGAGATTGAAAAAGTAACTGTAGTAATTTACGACAATATGATCAGCAGTACTATACACTTCATCTGGGGTTTTTCCTGCAAAAAACACAAAATTATCGGCGAATCAATATCGACCTGCATATTTCAGGGACATTTAATAGTCACCGTATTAACAGTAAAAATGGTAGTTGCTGTAAAACAAACGGAGCTCAACAAATAATTGGTCGCTGTATCCCGCAGACGCCGATAAGCCTAATTACGAGAGTGACAATGTAACAGCTTTAAACTAGACCAACTGCAGTACTCACACGTATACATGTGCATTGTCTACGAGCCTTGCCGTGAGAGTGCATTGCCCCCCAATGTGTGCCACTGACCCTGGGCGCGCGCGTATTTTGATGTTTTTTTGGGTTGGCAGCCACTTCCAACAAAAGAACCCAAAAAACCAAAAGAACAAAAAATAACAAAAAAACAAAAGAACCAAAAAAAACAAAATAACAAAAAAAAACAAAAACCCGACACTCTCCGGCCATGGAAATTTCAGTCCAGGAGTCTCTGGCAATTGGTTTTGTTGGTTCTGTTGGTTTTTTGTTCTGTTTTTTTTTTTATTTTTTTGGTTTTTAGTTCTTTTTGGGTTCTTTTGAGGTGTCATCTGCAGCAAAACTCCGTTATTGCAGGGAGCGTACCTCTCTCATTAAGTATTGCGTAAATGATGCTGAAGCTAGCGCTAAAACTCCTGGAAAAGCGCACGCCCAGGGTCCCCCGTTTTATACATATACATATACATATACATATACATATACATATGCATATACATATACATATACATATACATGTACATGTACATGTACATATACATGTACATGTACATGTACATATACATATACATACACATACACATACACATATACATATACATATACATATACATATACATATACATCTACATATACATATACATATACATATACATATACATATACATATACATATACATATACATATACATATACATATACATATACATATACATATATATATATATATATATATATATATATATATACAGGGATGGGGAGGCTCCGTGCAAAAGGTCTTACATTCATATACTTCCTACTGAAAGAGGTCTGTATTAACCTACACAGAGATGTGTAAGGTTTTTCATGCGCGTATATGTATATGTACGTATACGGGAATATACAGGTGTGTGTGTATATATATATATGCAATGCGTCATATGCATACCCATGTCTACCTAGTTCTGTATTTGCTTTAACGTTTGTTCATTGAAGTATCGACCTATCTATGCATTTGTCCACGTATGCTTGATCGGTAGCTAGGGTTACACAGTCTCTGGCATACACCGGCAAGCACCTGTGTGGCTCATACATGCACACACACACACACGTCGATAGTCAGATAGGTAGAGAAACAGACAGGTAGGTAAATGGATAGATGGAAAGATAGCTAGATAGACAAACAGATAGACGGACAGACGGAAAGAGAGAGTGAGAGAGAATAAAAAAATAGACAGACAGGCAGCTAGATGGACAGACACATAGACCGATAAACAGATAGGCAGACCGGTAGATAGATAGGATGGACGGATGGATGGACGCATGGATAGATGGATAGATTCCGAGAGAGAGGGAGAGTCATTAGCATATACTGGAAAGTACAGGCAAGGTGCCACGAGCTTCTGCTTGTGGGCGTCGTCCGAGGCACGCACGCAAATTATGCGCACCTCTAGTTGGTGCATTTGGTCATGCCAGATACTTTCTGGTCTGCTGGGGGTTTTGAGCGCATTATAGCATACTTGTATTCTGCAAATAAGAGGGAATACCGAATACGATTGAAAGAAATCTGAATACTTGCCAGTGCAATTCCTTTAAGCTCCTTCTCCTAAGTAGACTTTAGGCCCCCAAACCCTGTTCTGGTTATTAAGCCCAGCTGTTGACCTCTCGAGGTTTCCTAAAACCTAGTTGGCTTTTCTGGGTCGTCGAAGTAAAAAAGGAATCCAAAGTCCCAAACCCCGGGGCCTAATCAAGGGGACTTCATGGTTGGAGCAGGGTTCGGAGGTATATCAGTCAGGCCTATAGTAGTTGATGTTGGGCCTATGATGGGGCAATCTTCTCCAGTTATCAGATCCTCAATGTGAGTCAATCCGAAAAAACACCTATGAAAGTAAATAAACCCTGCACCCCTACACCTTACAACCGTTAATCCTCCATAAACACTTCTTTAAAACCGACAACCCAATACAATCTCTGTAAAACGCAATATAAAACGCTACAAAAGCTCAGGTAAACCTCGCGAAACCCAATGAACCCTTTATAAAAACCTGATAAACAACACTACAAGACCTCTTCTCAACCCATCATAAAACGCCACAAAACCTGATCTAAACCTTGTAAAACCCCATAAAACACTCCAAGACCTCTTCTAAACCCGTCAACCCAAGGCGCCGCCAGGAGTCCGAAGCCGTGGATACGCTGCACTGCGAGGTCATCGGTGAGCCACGCGCCGCGCAGACGCCTTCCGGGCTTGGGGGCCGGGGATTTAGGGGTCTAATGTAGGGAGCTTAATGGTTAGAATAGGGTTCCCTTTAAAGGGATCCTTTATGGGGTGTATAAGGGGTCCAGTGTTCTATAGTATAGGGGCCTGAATAAGTAGAATAGGGCTTTTGTGGTATACTGTACTACTATATCATAAGGAACCACCAAATTGGTAATTATTTAGGCCCCCCCCCCCCCATATTTAGGCCCCCATGTTTGGGATTTCTGGTGTTGGCATGCGTGTGGGCGTGAGGAAGGTGGGTGGGTGGAGAGGGTGGCCCTGTGGCTGTGGCGGGCTTGTTGTTCGCTATTGGCTTCTCCTTAGGTGTGGATGGTTTCAACACCCACGCGAATCAAAAAGCGAGACCACCCATCCCTTTGGCTGCTGGCATTGTTGAGACGTCGCAAAGATATCAAGAACAGGAAACTGCAACAAATGTGAGGCACTGATATCAAAATCCCGCAACGAGAACGGTCGCGAGGACAGCACGATCCACCAAATCCAAATGTTGAGGCGGGATGACAAGGTGGAGGCCCCTACGCCCTAAAACCCTAAGACCATAACCTGAATTAAACCCTAAAGCCCTAAATCCTGGACCCCAGTTTTCAGCCCCAGAGAATGGCACCTCGACTCACGCTCGGCCACGGTTCGACTGCGGGGTACTTTCGTCGCAAACTCCTGGAGCGGCGGTTTAGGGTTTAGGGTTTAGGGGACCCGAATTTAGGGTTTAGGGAAAGCCTTCAAAGTCTACTTCCATTCACTATAAAACCTTCTTCAAATCTTACTTGTCCAGTACCCTAGGGCCCTAGGGGAACGATAGGATAACTTTGGGGGCTATATTTATCATACCCCAAAAGGGTTAAAGCTTACGTATTCTACTACTGAGAAAGTTTACAACCCAAAGCCTTAAACGTGAAAACCATGAAACCTGATCATAATTGCCCTGCTTCACTGAACCTCAGACTAACTAAACCCCAAAGTAACTAAGCCCCAAACCCTGATTCCATGGCAAAGAGAAGCGATCCTGCGTGCTGATGAGGGGGTTCAGGGGTGCTGATGTCTTCCAGAAGTTCGGCCACGAACTTACACCCTCAGCCCTCGGTCCTTACTTATTCCTCACTGGACCCTACAGCAAAACCCTACAACCCCTAAACCCTAAACCCCTAAACCCTAGAACATTAAACTCTAAACCCCTAAACCCCTAAACCCCTAGACCCTAAACCCTAAACCCCTAAACCCCCAAACCACTAGACCCTAAACCCCTAAACCCATTTTTCCTAAGCTCTGAAACTTGAACCTCGCCGAGGATCCCAGAACTCCGCGGTTTTCACCTCCCGGACGAACTGCATGCTTTGCATCGCCCCCAGGAAGATGGCAGATTCAACCCCTAAACCCTAAACCCTGAATCCTAAACCCTAAACCCCTAAACCCCCAAAACCCCTAAACCCCTGAATCCTAAACCCTACACCCTAGACCCCTAAACACCTAAACCCTAAACCCCTAAACTAATGCGCGGTTTGCATGAGATCAGGCCAGGGAGGTCGAAGCCTCGACTTCGAAGCTTAGAGTTGGGTTGCTCAGGGTATTGTTAACGCGGCTTATAGGGCTTTATTGGCCAGGGCTCTTTCAGAGTGCTATATCTATCTATATATATATACATAGATATATAGATATATACATATATAGAGAGAGAGGGAGAGAGAGAGATATATATATATATATATATATATATATATATATACATATATAGATATATACACATAGATATATATATATATATATGTATATGGGTTCGAGTAGAGTTTAAGAGTTCGGGCTGGAGAGTTTGAGGGCACAAAAGCAACTCGATCTAAATGCGACTGGGCCGGCTCTGGTCCGGAGTCCGCGGGTTTAGGGTTTAGGGTTTGGGATTTAGGGTTTAGGGTTTAGGGTTTGGGATTTAGGGTTTAGGGTTTAGGGTTTAGGGTTTGGGATTTAGGGTTTAGGGTTTAGGGTCTAGGGTTTAGGATTTAGGATTTAGGGTTTAGGGTTTAGGGATGGTTCAGGGTATCGGGACTTCAGCTTCGATCTGCACAGGTCGGGTTGGTGTTTCAGCAGCTCACGCCTAAGCCCTAAGGGTGAAACCGTAAACCCCGCAATTGCTGGCTCTGAGCCTGGAATGAGAGAAGAAGCATTAATGGTTAAAGGCAGGGCGGAATTCTGGTGCATTTATAGCCTACTGCAAAAGAGACTACTACTGGGTCCTACTATTCCTAATTATTCAGACCCCTGTATTACCCGAACCCCTAACGCAAACACCTCAAATCAAAAGCCCTAAATCCTGGACACTACACTCTACACCCTACAGACCATTCAAAACCCCAATCAACAAACCCTAAACCCTAAACCCTACTTTCTTGAGTGGGCTCAGCCAGACACAGGGCCCTTGAGGCTGGTCGGCTGCAAGAGAGGACGGAGCGCTTGTTTAAAACATTCGGGTTTAGGGCACAGTGTGTAGGGGCTGCGGTTTAGGGTTTAGGGTTTCTCCCTAACCCTAAACCCTAAACCCTTGTAGGGTTTTGGGTTCGGGGCTTTGAGTTTGGGGTTTACGATTTGGGTTTGAGTCTGGGGTTCAGGGCTTGGGTTTGAGGCTCCACGGCTTAAGGTTCAGGGGTTGAGGGGTTTAGGGCTCAGGGCTGGTGCCATAAGGAACAAAAAAACAGAAGTCGTGTTAGGGTTTACAGGGAACTCCAGAAAGTTGGAAAATGGTTTCAGGGTAGGATACCCTATAATTTACCATAGAAGGGTTAGGATAATCATATTCCAACTTTCTGGCTTTTACTATAGGTTAATGGATTTCTGAACCAGAGACCTTGAACACCCAACCTTAAGCCTCGACCGGAAACATAGGCTGCAAGACCTTAAACCACACACCCTTGAAGTACACATCCTGATTTGTAACTACGCTTAGCCACCCTAACCCCCTGTTTGCAAAAAATGAGCCCGGGGAGAGAAAAAAGGATTAAACCCCGAAAGCAAATTGCAGTGGTTCTGGAACCACCTTCGAAGCCCTATAAACCAGGTGCAAAACCAGCTCGAAAATCCTTCTGAACTTACACCAGCTGCAGTTGTTGGGACCCCCGGCCGAATCGAACCGACGAAGACGTCGATCACTGAGGTCAAGTACCTCTGCCTGCCGTGCCAGGTCCGGGGTTTCGGTCTCAGGGGGTTTAGGGCTTAAGGTTTAGGGTTTAGGGTTTAAGGTTTGGGTTTAGGGTTTAGGGTTTAAGGTTTAGGGTTTAGGGTTTCTGGTTCAGGGTTACTATGGTCAGGACAGTACAAGGACTCACCCTATGAAGGTACTGACTCTGTAACCCACACTTCTACTTAGCTGGATGTAACTACCCGTGTTCCTTCAGCGATTCCAAGAAGAGAGGTATTCCAGAGAGATACAGAGCGAGAGAGAGCGAGAGAGAGAGAGAGAAGAGAGCAAACATGGAAAAACGAGAGAGTGAGAGAGGGGCCTCCGGCAAGCCAGGATCTCATCATTCACCGGCGTGCTGGCCTTGTCGATCTTGTCCTTCGCCTGAAACGATACAAGTCTTGCTCGGGAGACGAGAAAGGTGGTAGTTACCCTAAACCCTAAACCCTAAACCCTGAACCCTAAACCCTAAACCCTGTTTCAAAAGACTGCCGGGCTGATGTAAGAGGCTTGGGGCGGCCGGACAACAGCAGGCCACCCCATGGAAACGCCATAACAATCCTTGCTGTCGTAGCTTAGGCTGCTGGAGATTTGTACAATAATGTAGAGGTTTTACTACGATGTAGTCTTCAAATCAGAAGGCCAAAAGACTACACACACACACACACACACACCCCAATTTCCAACAGGATCAAATCCCTGCCCTCATTGCCCCATTTAAGGCGCGACAGCAGCGAGCCCCCGCTACAAGATGTTGGACACAAAGTACACCCTAAACCCTACTGTAACCCCAACCCTAAAACGCATGGACCTGCGTAGGAACGAAACGGCCATGGAGTGGGAGAACAGGGAAGCAGCTCTTCGGGAGATGCTGCCATGATGAGGGTTGCCCGTACCAAACAAGCACACATCACTAATAAACCCCACTAGACCCCAAACCCTGATGCCAAAACCCGAGACCCGAAACCCTCGACCTTCGACCCTAAACCCCCTAGACCCTACCTCTTCCCAGACTAGGGTTCATGGTACTCAGAACACAGCGCAGAGACACAACGCCCGAAAATGACCGTCGCAACCCTAAACCCCCTGGTAGAACCCGTACAGTAAGCCTTTTTGGCAAGACCAAACCATACCAAACCCTAAACCCTAAACCCTAAAAAGCCTCGTCCCCATCATCTTCCCATGGCTCTTCGTCTCCCGTGTGCGGCCAAAGTACGTAGTGAACATGTCAGGGTTGAGGAATTTCTGTTGCTGGCAACAGTCCCGAACAAGGAAACTTCTTCGGGTTTAGAGCCGAATGACTGACAATGGCTTACGGTTCAGTCGTGTGTGTATGTGTATGTGTATGTGTATGTGTATGTGTATGTGTCTGTGCGTGTGCGTGCGCGTGTGCGTGTGGGTGTGGGTGTGGGTGTGGGTGTATCTACATCTATATATATATATATATATATATATATATATATATATATATATATATATATATATATATGTGTGTGTGTGTATATGAATGTACAGCCATATATATATATATATATATATATATATATGTGTGTGTGGCAGTGAGTGAGTATGTGTGTGTATGCATACATGTATGTGTGCGTATATGTATGCGTGTGTACACATATGAACTTGATAAGAGCATGAACATGTAAACGACCTTAGGCCTGCATCGTTCGATGCCGATGACAGTCTGAAAACCATGAAGTTTGTATGGCGTAGCATCTACTTGGAGGTTCATGGGCAGTTATAAGTGGGGTTATAAGTAGGGTAACTACAATTATAACCCATATTCGAGGACTTATAGCTCCACTTGTAACTACCCATGAACCTCCAAGTACTGTTATCACTCTCATCTCTGAGGTATTGCCTAGGCTCTAACTAGAAGAGGAATGACGATCATGAACTCGCTTCAACTGCCTCCCGGCATGCTCCATGCGGCGAGGCATGCGGGCAACGCAGTCAAGGGTTCAAGCAACCTCCCCAGAGAGCCCAGTACCCCTTAATTACGGGATATACAAACTATAAGGTTATGATTTAAGCTATATTCCGTAACTAAGTGGCTACACCCGCCCAAGCTCTAAACCTACAGGAACCATCAAGAACCCGAATGACAGTGATGACAATAGCCTAAAGACGCTGCCCGTAGCCTCACAAAGCCCTAAACCCAAGACAGAAAACTCTGAATCCCGCAGAACCCTTGTAGCAACCAAGCCAGAAAGCCTAAAGTAATCGTGATTTATATCCCAAAACCCCCAAACCCGAAGCTGTTCCCCATGAAACGTCGGCGCGTGGGGCCGTATAATCCCGATACACTTCAGAGTATCACAGCCCTCAACCCCCTTCTTCCATTTACTAAGGGCCCGATAGTACCCTAAATCCTAAATCCTAAACCCCTAAACCCCTAAACCCCTAAACTCCTAAACCCCTATACCCTGAACCCCTAAACCCTAAACCCCTAAAACCCCTAAACCCTGGGCCCGAGAGTATGATAGGTCCTCCCTCCGAGGAAGCCCCAGACCGAGGCCACGGAGTCCATGATCCTTAAAGCTGGGGATATTTAGGGTTTTTTTAAGCGGCCCTTTAGGGGTTTACGGTTTAGGGTCTAAGGTTTAGGGATCTTTTACGGGTAAAGCTGGAGATACTTAGGGGTTTAGGGCTTCGTTAAAAAACCCTTTACAGGGATCTATAAGGATTTCTATAAGGGATCTTTTAAGGGTAAAGCTGGGGAAATTCAGTGTTTTAGGGCTTAGGGTTAAGTGGTTTAGGGTTTTAAAGCTGGTGATATTTAGGGGTTTAAGGCTTTAGGGTTTACGGTTTAGGGTTTAAGGTTTTTGTTAGGGACATTTAGGGTTTAGGGTTTGTTAGGGACATTTAGCGGTTTAGGGCTTTAGGGTTTAGAGTTTAGGTCGGGGGGTTAGGGATATTCAGGGGTCTTAGGGGTTCCTTTACAGGGAGCTTTTTTAAGGATTTCTAGAAGGGATCTTTTAAGGGTAAAGCTAAACCCCTAAACCCTAAACCCCTGTATGGATGGATGGATGGATGGATGGGATGGGATGGGATGGGATGGGATGGGATGGGATGGAATGGAATGGTATGGATGGATGGAATGGACGGCTAGATGGATGGATGGATGGATAGATGGATGGAATGGATGGATGGATGGATGGAATGGATGGGAAGGGAAGGGAAGGGAAGGGAAGGGGATGGATGGCTGGATGGAATCGATGGATGGATGGAATGGAATGGAATGGAATGGAATGGAATGGAATGATGGATGGATGGATGGATGGATGGATGGCTGGATGGCTGGCTGGCTGGCTGGCTGGCTGGCTGGCTGGGTGGGTGGGTGGATGGATGGATGGATGGATGGATGGATGGATTCATGCATGCATGCATGCATGGCCGGAAGGATACCAGATTCAGGCACACAATCCTACTCCTGAACTCTGAACCCCAAAGCCAGGGAAAGCCGAACCACTGAGCTTCCCGTCTCACTGAGAATGCCTAAACCCCGCGGCTCTACGGCCTAAACCCGAACTTCTACCACCCCGAAACCCGAAAACCCAAATTAGAAGCTTGAACTCTAAACCATGCATGATGCCCTACCCAGAGAGCCCAATACCCCTTCATTAATTAAGGAATATGGCTTAAATTATAAAGGGCTTCATATTACGATTTAAGCTACATTCCTTAATTTAGGGGTCTTGGGCTCCCTGGGTAAGCCTCTACGCTGCAGAGCCGCAACGGCTTTCTCTTCATGGACGAGCTGCAAATCCGCAGCGTCCGCGATCCCATCCTTCACCGCACCGACTGCGCCTGCGTCAGCTCCAGGCCATAGGTTTGTTTTTTCTTATTTTCTGGCTTAGGGATCGGCCAGGGAGTTGGAGTGGTGGGGGCTTCCTTTCTTTCATACACCATTGTAAAATTTGGTACAGCAGCCTCAGCAGTGGTAGCGGTAGTAGTGGTAGTGGTGATAGTGGTGGCAGTGGTGGTAGTACTCGTCGTCGTCATGGTGTTGTTGTTGGTGGTGCAGCTGCTGATGCTGCTGCTGGTAGTAGTAATCGTCGTCGTCGTCGTCGTCGCGTCGTCGTCGCGGGCGGTAGTGGTAATGATTATGGTCATGGTAGTGGTAGCGGTAGTGGCAGTGCAAGTGCTCAAATGGCTGCACAAGGTGTCTTATATATACTGCCTGATCTGTGAAGGATTCCCCAGGGCCGCCAAGTTTTTAGAAGCTGGAATCGAAGGAAATCCGTCTCTCCTAAACTACCCCACCCTAAACTCCTTCCAACAAGATCTTATAGCTATCGAATTTCGATGGCACCTGGGTTAGGTTTTGGCGGCTAGGGTTTAGTGTTTGGGGCCTCGGCCCATAGGGTTTAGGCTAGGGCTGTGGGACATGCCTGCACTAGTCATGCAGAACACAACGTGGCGACAGTGACAGGCTGATAGGCGAAGCCGTGAAGCCTGGATTTTTGCACCTGGACCCAAAGCCCTGGCAAATGAAGTTTTTTTTTAACCCTAAACCCTAAACCCCAAAACCTTAAACCGTAAACCCTAAACCCTAAACCCGAAACCTGCAAATGAATTTTAGGGTTCAGGGTTTAGGGCTTCTTAAACCCGAACTCCCTACATCCGCAGACCTCAAGGTCAGGAGCTTGAATCTAAAAGTTTAGGGTTTTAGGGTTTAGGGTTTAGGTCTGGAAGTTCTTGAAGCCCAAACGGCCCCAAACACTGCGTCTTAAGCTCCAACTGTTAGGGCCCAAAAAAAGCACATAAGCAAAAATTAGGATAGGGATATCCCATATAACCCCCCTTATAATGAAGCCCATTAAGGTAGGGATATCCCCATCAAATGCTTATGCTTATGTGCTTTTTGGGTCCCTAAACTGTAGCTCCGAGCTGGGCCTTTCTCTCGGAAGTCGTCCACGGTGTCTGCCACCGCGTCCCCGACGAAGCCCACGACCTACAAGATTTATGATCCGCGGTTTAGGGTTTAGGGGTTTAGGGTTTAGGGTTTAGGGTTTAGGGTTTAGGGATGATTCCGAGAGTTCAGAATTGGGGGCGCAGGGTTTGGAGTTTGGGACTGCGGGTATCAAGTCCTACTACTACGACGACGGCGACGACGACTACTACATACCCCTAAACCCTAAACCCTAGCTAAAGTGGCCATGGACCCAACCTGCAACTTAAAGATTGTGCCCGCTGCCAGGGTTTCGCTGTCTGCTTCCCGGCACATTATGTCCCTGTCTAGGCCCGAAACCCGGAACTTCGGGTTCTTGCGGCCAGAACCCCAGTGAAAGCCTCAAACCCTAAGCCCTGAACCCTAAACCCTCAAAAAGCTCAGGGCCTACACCCATCGCTTCGGGGCTTCTGGCTTGAGGGTTACTTGTCCAGTTCCTCGGGGAACTAAAGGTTAACCGTTGGGAATATATAGTAGAAAAAGGTTTCTAGAACATGGCGAGGTTAAAGCCTACCTATTCTACTACTGAGTTTTGACGTAAGAAGCCCCATGTGATACTGCAATGTTGGGGACAAATGCGTGAACTGGAGATGACAGTTAATCCTATAAGCTTAGGATTTACATTGACTTACTACAGGAAATTAGGTCAATCTTTACAGGAGGATCATGTTTTAGAAATGTACAATGCGCTCTTACTCGAAGGCCCTGGGGAAAGAGAAAACCCTTAAACCCTAAATCCCGAAACCCCTAAACCCCTAAACCGTAAACCGCGCCTCATTGACGAAGCCTGCAGCACCTGAGGCCATAAAGCTGAAACCCCAGAAGCTCAAAACCCTGTACACCCTAAGCCCCTAAACTCAAAACCCCTAAACCCTGAAGCCCTCAACTATCCTAAACCCCTAAACCTCGAAACCCTAAATGCCAAAGTCCGAAACTTCTTGCAAAGCCCGGGCTAAGCCTCAAAGCTACCTTGGAATCCTTATTTATGGTTTTTGCTACCAAAAAGGACCCAAAGTCCCATAATGGGGGCTACCTGGATCCTTAGAGCATTTGCATATGTTCTTACGGCATCGGCTGTAAGACTTACGAAATCAATGCCTTGGGGCTGTGCAAACAATGATTGATACCACGGCATCAAGTAAAGCGGTCAACTCAAGGAGCTGGGGACGGCTTCAGGGCTTAGGGTCTAAGGTTTAGGGCTTCGGGTTTGGGGTGTAAGGTTTGGGGTTTGGGGTTTAAGATTTGGGTATCGGATTTGTTGGGCTTGGGGTTCAGGCATCAGGGCTAAATTCGGCTGTAAGGTTTAGGATCTATGTTAACAGCGTTCTGGACTCTAAACGAGGTATCATTCTTGCACTAGGAAGCTTACTAGAGAGGCCTTAATAATTACCAATAATATTTTGGGTATGATAATTATAATATAATGGGCCCCCAAAACACCCTAGTCTAGTTATTAAGGTCCCTATTTTAAGCGGCGTTTGATTGAAGCTCGACATGCATATTTTTCGACGTTAGGATCCCCAGGGTATAAGGCATACTAATAACAAGCATGAACACAGTGCTAGTGGGACTGAGAATAATCACAATAATAATGATAGCAACAGTACTTGCTATTATGATAGTAACAGTAGTACTCACCATAATGAACTTTTCTGTTAATCATGAGTCCCTAGCAAAAGGGACCCCAAATACATCAATAACCTGCTACTGCCAGCTGCTGTATTCTATACCCTAAACTTTTACTAGCCCTGAGCCTTACATCCTGAGCCCTGAGCCCTGAACCTTGCACCCTACACCCTTAGCCTCATACCGTGAGCTAGACCTAATCCCCTTCAATGCCAAACTTATGCCCTTAACCTCAAACCCTAAGCGCCAGGCGCTGATCCTTGAAAGTAGCTGACAACGGTGGAGCTTCCAAATACAATAGGGTTCAATGTCTAGGGGATGTAGGGTTTTGGGCGTAAGATACGGTTTATGGTGTAGGTTGCAGGGCTTCGGATGGGGCTTAGGGGGTAGGGTGTACCAAAAGCCAGGTCGCAAAACAAAAACAAAAATCTGGTTTCAGTCGCAAAACCCCAGCCCAGCCCCAGCCCCCCTTTTTCAGGTCTAGTCACAACTCCGGTTCCAGTCGCAAAACCCACCACATTCCAGCCCCAGCAACAGCCCAGCCCCAGCCCCAACCCCACCCCAATAAACTCGCAGCCCCCAGCCCACCCCACAGCCTCGTTTTCCGCGCACGCACTACGCCGATGGGGAGGGGGGTGGGTGGCTGGCTTTACGAGTAGCATGGTCAGAGAGAGGATTGTTCCCAAGGCCCGGGCGTGATCGTCGGTCCAACCTGTGGTGGGGTCGTAATTAAGCGACCCATCCTGGAACGACGCGGCAGCAGTGTTGCACCCTGACTGCGCTGGGTTGTCATTGTGTGCGATTAACAGCATGGAGGCGATACGCGGTTAAGTTGGCCAGGCGAGCGCCCGTGTAGGTGTACCACCTCTGATCAGGTACGACCCGGCAAGAGCCTTGCCCCGGAAAGGTTGTCCGACGTCCGTTCTCGAGGTAGTTGCCCCCATGCCTGAATGAAAGCTCGCGTGGTATGATATGCTGCTGGCGGACAGAGCACCGAGGCGCAAGCCGTCCCGAGACTGCGGGAAGGTCGGTTCGGCGGGATGCGTGGCTTGCGCGAGAAGTAGTGCTTGCGATGCTTCCGGTTGTTCGCTTGGACAGAACTACGTAAGGGACTAAGGCATCTTCGGGCGCGGCAGGTGAAAGTTGAAGGCTCTCACTCTCATGACCATTGTAGAGGTGAAACTCTGCGATTTCGAGGACCTACGAGATGTGAAGTCTGAAGGTTCCGAGCTTCATTCGACACTATTCGACACATAATCTAGAGCCGGGGCACTTGTTCGTTCCTTTCACTTTCACAGCCACCCAGTACATCCATTCATCGCAGTAATCCGACTTTTCCGGGAATAGAACACTTTTCCGTTGTCCTTGCCGATTAGGGCATGGAGCGGTTTTCCGCGGCCTTGCGCGCAGTACTTTGTCAAGGATCGCGACTTGGCAGAGGTTGTACCCCTATCCATGCAGTAGACAGGGTCCTTCAGCTCCGTGAACAGGCGGGCGACAGGATGCCTTTGCGCGCGCACAGGCGCCCATCCCTGTGGGAAAAGGGGCTCCTCCTGGCTGCCCAGGTGAAACTTCCCATCATATAGGTGAAACGGCGTGGCCTGAAGCTGGCTCACTGCAAGCGTGAAGTTAGAGAAACTCCTTGTAGAGGTGGCAAGGTGGAGCCTGGGACCTGGAGTGTGGAGCCTCTAACCCAGTGTAAAGGTGAAACAAGGCATCGGAAGTCTGTCCAACGGAAACTGTATGGTGAGGGCTGTGGCCTACTGCGTGGGTGACGGTGTGGACTGGGCCGGCCTACTTGCATACTTCGCGTCGCTAAAGCTCGAGCTTGTACTCCCGAGGCTTGGGGCGTGCCCTCGACATGTTTTTTAAACTCCGGTTTGGGCCCCCCATGCCAGTGGACCCGAGCCCATTCTTCCACATTCCAAAGCTTGAAGTTCCACACCCGACGGCTCAAGATTCCACGCTCAAAGGCTTGAAGTTCCACGCTGAAACGCTTGAGTTTCTGTGCTCAAACGCTTTGCCTTCCAGATACAAACGCATCTTCTCTGACAGTCAACAGCTTGAGCGTCCTTGCCCGAAGGTGTCAATGTTGACGCAAGCTGTCACGTTGCCCTACTATCACGTTCATGCAAGGCCAACACCAAACAAAGTGTGCGGAACAAGTTGTGGAACCCGCGTGTGTGTGTGTGTGTGTGCGGAACATAGCGCGGAACTCATGTGGAACAAGTGTGTGTGGGCGTGTGTGTTGGAACATTGCGCGGAACATCTTGCGGAGCATCTTGGTCTATGTGCGGAACATCTTGCGGAACATTCTGGCGTATGTGCGGAACTTTTGCGGAAAATGTGCGGAACAATTTGCGGAACACCTTTGTCTATGTGCGGAACAATTTGCGGAACAACTTGTGTATATTAGGAAGAAGTTGCGAAAGTTGGCCTGGAAACATGTGACTTCTATATTCTTAAGCCGCCGTGCGCAAGATTCCACCAAATTGCCGTGGCAACACCGCCTAAGGTTCCAAAGTTGGTTCCGCAAATGTTCCGCAGCGCATGCAACTGAGAAGAGGTTCCAGGAAACCTAAGTTGGAGAGTTCAAACTTATGGCTTGGGTACCCGGTCCACCAGCAGATGCTTAGCAATGCCAGCAAAGCTTGGGGTTTAGGCAGGTAAGTAAGAGAAGTATGAGACGTAAGACGGAAGATATGCTGCAAACTAGGGGGCATTTGGGTCTGTGGGTGGAAGCAATAGTTGTGGAGTAGACGGTTTGTGGCTTTTTTGGAACACAACGCATGTGGAGCACATGCTTCTTGATGGGGCATAACATGTGGAACATTTGGCTTCTTCGAGCACCACGCATGCATGTGGAACATCTGCTTTCGGTGGAGGGCAACATTTGTGGAACATCTGCCTCTGGAGGGGCCACTGCTTGTGGAACATGTGCTTCTGGAGGGGCCAATGCTTGTGGAACCGGCGCCTCTGTCTGCTGCCTACACATGTTACATACCTGTAGCGTTTCTGGAGTATAGAGTGGCCCTCAAAACGTGTCTGGGGCACACCCCAACCCGAGGCGTTTGCATGGATCACAGATGAAGTTGTGATGCCGAGCAAGCGCTGTGCTTTGTTGCTCAGGACTCTCGTCCCGTGGGATCCCTTTTGGCTGTGTCGGGGTTTTCCTGTTCAAGTCTCGACAGTATATAATACGTTCGCTCCACGGCTCTTCGAACTTTGTTTGTTGAATAATTACCTGAGTAGATACTTTGTGTTCTGCTTGTAACTTGATTGGTAGTGCATTGACGTGAGTGTATCCGCATGATATCTAGACGTCGTGCCATTCTTTCGCCTGCTTTCCTGCGGCGTCAGCGACAAACAGTCCAGTCGAGTGTATCGACCGTCAAGAACTCCACCTGAATAGTGACAAGGTAGTTCAACGCAGTCCGCTCCAAGTTGATTCATCGCTAAGCTAGGGACGATGAGATTCAGACATGGCTCGGGGAGGTGCTGACACGCATGGCCATCGACCTAGCATCATTAATTGTTTCAAGTTTCGCTTATTCTAGCACGGCGTGGTGATCGCTTGGAACGCAGAGGGCGAGGCGATCAGCACGATCGTGTTTGGCCAGGCGTGCTCGTGAGCTTGACTGTGCGCACTTGTCACATAGCCCACCAGAAGTGGTTGTCCATAGGAAGTCTTCTCTGTTTCTACTTGAATCTGAGTGTCCGACTCACGACGTGGCCTTTTCTGTTGAAGGGCACCACTCTCGCTGCCGGAACGGTGGATACATTGCCGACAGCAGGTACCCCTCGACCATCTCACTTGGTCTCACCTGGAACAAGCTTCGCCGTATCCCTGCCTTGAAACATGCGACACGCTCGTCCGGGTAAATGATATCCAGGTACATCGTCGGTTCTCGGGTCCTCGTGTGGAAGCGCTGGGTTTCGCTGCGTGGAGTAGCAACAACTGGGACTCCGGTTTTTTTCGTACTCGTCTGCGCGTGTACCTGCTCGGCTTGATTGCAGGTGCGTGCAACGCCCGCTCGATGCATCTCAGGCCCACACGGACCGTGTACTGGGGGGTAAATTGCGCCATGATAACTTCATCTCGTGTGCCGCACGACGACTGTGGCTTTGGTCGTGTTGAGGGTGTGTTGCGTTTTACGTGGTCTGGTTGGACACAGATGTATCGACGATCAGGTTCGCCACCGAAGTTGTGACTCGGGCCTAAACGGGTTGTGCGGCATAGATCCTGACTGTAGTGACTGTACCTCATCAAAGCTGTGCTGTCACGCTACCGTATACTAGACCCAAGAGTAACCTAGGAATAAAAAGGGTGCCCTTTTTGAGTTAAAGGGGGTTATAAGACAACCTAAACTTTAAAAAAGGGAAAAAGGGCCTACTCTGGGTCCTAGTATAGGTGGAACTGTAAGCCTGGGGACTGGAGTCTGAAGCCTGTTCTATCTGCGCTTCTCGGAGGATAGGCTTTACGGTGGGGTGTAGGGTGTGTAGGGCTTTGGGATTTGGGCTTAGGACAGCGCTTAGGGTGTAGGATGTAGGCAGGGTGTAGGGCTTTGGATCGGATGTAGGGTTTTGGTTTTTTGGATAGGCTTAAGGGTGTAGGGGTTTTGGATGTTGGATAGGGTCTAGGCTTAGGGTGTAGGGTGTAGGGTTTAAGGTTCAAAACCAGGGTGTAGACGGTTGTATGGGGGCCTTTGAAGGTACGGCGTACGGGTTCTACTACAGGGTCGCGCCTGTTTGAGACTGCTCCTCTGGATCAGGTGGAGGCATGTAGTTGCCGAAACCTGCAGCTGTAGACCAAAGGTGCGCGATAATTGCTTAGGGGTTTATTGTTTAATTGTTCCCTAAACCCTAAACCCTAAACCCTAAACCCTAAACACCCCCCAAATCCTGAACTCGAAACCACAAACCCAACATCGTAAATCCAGCAGCCCAGGTGTCTTTACAGGCCTCGAGCAGGCTTCAAGAGTGCAGGACTTCTGGAAGTTAGGGTTTAGGATAAGGGTCAGAGTTTAGGGTTTCGGCTTACCCTCCCCCCAAAACAAAACTTGAGCCCAGCCCCAAACCCTCACCCTAAACCTGCCTTGAAAACTTCAGCATTGAGCCCTCAAACCCTAACTTCTAACAACATGACCCCAAACCGTAGGACCAAAACTCATGCCTCAACCTTAAACCAACTCTAAATTCCAAAACAGTGCAGCTTGCACCTCCCAAAGAAAGCAGTCTCAAACCCGACCACTCGACCTAACCAAAACCGAAACTCAAACCCTTAACCCGAGCCCTGAAGTCTAAACATCCCCTAGGACCTAAGACCCCTAAACACTGACACCTACACCCTAAACCCCAAAACCTAAACCCCTAGACCCTAGACCCTTAACCCCAAACTCCAAACCCTAAACCCTAAACCCTAAAGCCCTAAACCCTAAGCCCCAAACTCTAAAGGAACCCTAAACCCTAAAGCCCTATTATCACAAACCCCCTCTATCTGCATCCTTGCCTTCGCATCGCGCACGCACTGAAGCCTCTGGCCAAAGGGCCCAGGCCAAGGAGCTACTGTTTGTGATATGAATCCCTGGGGTTCCTTTAAAGGGATCTATAAGGGTACCTTTAAGGGCTCCTTTACGGGACCTATAGGGTTTTAGGGTTTAGGGTTTAGGGTCTATGTTGATGATAGAAATCCTGCATTACCTGAAGGGCCCTAAACTATGGGAATTATGGTATATTCCCTATTATGGGAAATGCAGGATTTTTTTCATCAACCGTAGGGTTTAGGGTTCAGGCTTCAGGTTTGAGGGTTTAGGGTTTAGCAGCTCTGGTCGAGCAGTATCTAGTCGAGTTAGCTATGTAGAACATGGAATAATACCCACCCACCCAGAGAATCCCAAAACATTAAGAAAGAACCAGGTCATCATTACCCTCAGCTTAGTTCCACACAGTCAATTCAACAAATATGTTTAAGCCCAAACCCTAGGCCCTAAACCCTAAAGCCCAAACCCCAGGCCCTAAACATCTAAAGCCCAAACCCTACGAAAATCGGCTGGAGAACGGTCCAATTTGACGAAAATCTACTTGAGAACGGTCGGAGTTGACGAAAATCTGCTTGAGAACGGTCGGATTTGACGAAATCGGCTTGAGAACGGTCGGATTTGATGAACATCAGCTTGAGAACGGTCGGATTTGACGAAAATCGGTGTGAGAAAGGTCGGTTTGACGAAAATCGGCGTGAGAAGGTCGGATTGACGAAAATCTGCTAGAACGGTGCCGGTTTGACGAACATCTGCTTGAGAACGGTCGGAGTTGACGAAAATCGGCTTGAGAACGGTGCCGATTTGACGAAAATCTGCTTGAGAACGTTCGGATTTGATGAAAATCGGCGTGAGAAAGGCCGGATTTGACTAAAATCGGCTTGAGAACGTTCGGATTTGATGAAAATCTGCTTGAGAGCGGTGCTGATTTGACGAAAATCTGCTTGACCGATTTGACGAAAATCTGCTTGAGATCTGCTTTAGAACGGTCGGAGTTGACGAAAATCGGCTTGAGAACGGTGCCGATTTGACGAAAATCGGCTTGAGAACGGCGGGGACGTGACGAAAAATCTGCTCAGGGATAAAACAAACATACAAGAGAAAGAGAGCCATAAGCTACTTCTCTGGTAGGTTCCTACCATAAACCCTAACCTGGTGTTAAGGTAGGGTCTAGGGTCTATCGGGTCTAAGGTCTAGGGTTTCGGGTCTCGGGTTTCAGCTTCAGGGTTTGGGGTCCTAGTGAGGTTTAGTATGGGGGCCTTAATAATTAGAATAGGGTTTTGGGTTTAAGGGCCCATCATACTATGATTACAACAAGGTGCCCCCAAAATAGCATTTGTGATTATTCAGGCCCCTCTCGTATGGAACCCTACTATATATAGATCCCGTATAGACCCCTGATAGAACCCTTTAAAGGAACCCTATTCGGGGTTTGGATGCAGGGACGCGGCAGCCGAAATCAAGCAAACCTCCCAGACCTTCCAAAATCCCTCAATTAAGGAATATACCTTAAATTGAAGTAGGATCCCTTAATTAAGGAATACACCTTAAAAGGGTTCCTTACAGGGATCTATAAGGGTTCTATGAGGGAATTAAGGAACATACTTCAAATTTTAGTAGGACCCCTAATATGATTTAAGGTAGATTCTGTAATTAAGGAATATACCTCAAACTATAGCAAGTAGATTCCTTAATTAAGGGATTTTGGAAGTCTGGGCTTGTAACCCCACACCAGGCCGAAATCTGAATTTCTCAGTCTATGAGCCCTGCACCCTAGATCCTAACTCTAGAGGCCTTGATAATTACCTATAGAATTTATAAGGGGTCTATAAGAGATCTGTAGTAGGCTTCTATAATATGGAGGCCTTTGTAATTAGAATAGGGTTTGGGGGTGTATTATACCTGCATGTATAGTAAGGAACCCCCAAAATAGTATTGGTAATTTGTTAAGTCTGTATAGTAGATGCTTGGCCCCGAACCCTACACCATGAATCATACTCCGTATTCACGGGAACCCTATCGTCGGGACCCCTGATTCTAACCATGCGACACGGACCCCTACCCTGCGGAGCTTATGGAAAGCAACGTGATGCGACAAACTGAGAAAACTCCACCCAAAATGACCAAAAACTTACCTTTGGTTAGTAGGGAGTGGAAGCATGGTAGTAATAGTAGTTATAATTCCACCCCATTCCTCCATTCCCTACTTACCAAAGGTAAGAAAACCGTAGAGAGCTCGACCCTGCAAGGCGACAAGCAAACTCTGCCCTGTAGCAGCGAAGCCTCGGATAGCAACACTCCTTACCTTTGCTTAGTAGGGAATGGAGGAATGGGGTACAACTTTGACTTCTATTATATACTACCATTCTTCCATTCCCTGCTAACCAAAGGTAAGACTCGTCCAACATAGTCCCTACCTAGAGGATCATGGGACTTAATTAACTAGGGTGATAATTAGGGTAACTATACTTATAACTACTTATAACCGGAATTAACGTACTTACAAAGTCCCATGAACCTCCAAGTAGCCAAGCACGGCAGCATACGCACAACTGCAATCACCGCAAACTAGCGCCCTTGCTTCTAAACCCTACACTCTCAGTAAATGAAACCCGAAACCCCTTCCAGGACCCCTGAAGAAACCTTTTGGGACCCTTATGGTGACCTTGATAGCATCCCGTATGGTGACCCTTGCCGTGCCTTCTCGCGCTCCGAGCTTTCGAGTAGGATCGCCCTGAAGGTTGCTTGCAGTTCTTTAAACCCCAAACCTTACTGTTATCGCGGTTATCACTATTACTACAATTATTACGATCATTACTTACTATCAGTACCACTATTACTAATACGACTATTATTGCTAATATTACTATTATGACTTTTATGACTATTATTTCCATGATTACTACTACTACTGTTATCACTATTACTACTATTATTGCTATTACTACTATTATTACCATTATTATTACTGTTACTATTGTTATTAGTATTCTTACTATTGGTATTATTGTTCCTTTGTTTTTACTACCATTCCTCACATTGCTACCCTTATTTATTACAAGCCCCAAAGTCTCCGGCCTAGACCCTGATCTCTCCTACGGAGGCATTGATGGAGGTTTTGGAGGCATGGTATACAGTATGGTATGATTATATTGGGACTATATAATTTAGGGTTTAGAGTTTAGATTGCTGCACCCCAAAGCTTTCAATCTGGGGGCTGTGGCTATGGGTTCTGGTATACCAGTGCTCTGGATCCAAGTATAGCTGGATTCGGTGATAGGAGCGGCAAAAAGCCCTAAAACTCTAAACCCCTTCAGAAACGATAAACCTCTGATGACCCTCACCCCAATAGCCCTTAACTCTACAAACATCCACAATGCTGTCCAAATAAGCCCTGAAAAAAGAGAACATTGGGAGTCGGATCAATCCCTCTTAGCCCCTACATAGTAACCTGAACCCTCGACCCGTTTCACATGTCAAACCCTAGACCTACACCCTTCACCCCCAAACCCTAAATCCCTGAACCCCGAAAACCCTAAACCCCTGAACCCCTAAAACCCTAAACCCCTAAAACCCTAAACCCCCCTCAGGAGGAACAGAGAGATGCCTCAGCGCACGCTCTGCAGCGATGCGGTGGAACTTCTCCTCTTCCCTGCGACACGGAAATAGGATTTTGGGTTTAGGGTTGAGGGGATTAGGGTTTATGGTTGAGGGATTTGGGTTTAGGGTTGAGGGGATTAGGGTTTAGGGTTGCAGGATTGGGGTTTAGGGTTTAGGGTTTAGGCTGGGTCTCTTGTAGCCTCTGCAACACTCGAAGCCATGGCTCACGCACCCCAGCTGCATCCCAAGCTGCATGTAGATGCTGACATCGCCGTCCTCTGCCGGCTCGACTTCCACCTCCACCTCATCACTGCGAGCTGGCGGTGGCCGAGGGAACCGACTCCTGCAGAAGACGTCCCACCGTGGCCAACAACGTCTGTACTGCCCTTGTAAAAGCTAAGGCCAGGGTAAGGCGATCTTGTCCATTGAACCCCAGGAAGGTCTCTTGGATTGATCCCACCCTCTCCGCTAAGAACTCGCCTTGGTGCCCTTTGATCCCTAGGACCAACAGCCATGTATCCACTGCAGCCTCCAAGGTCAATAGCTTTGGCGGCCCGGAAGGTGCTTGCATCTCTCTCTTTCAAAATCTTCACCATCTGCTCGGCTTCGCGTCGCGCGGCATCGGCGTGTGCCTCGCCCGCGCGGGGCCAGGGTTGAGGGTTTAGGGTTTAGGACCCTACATCCTGAACCCCACACTCCCGTAGCATCTCTGCCAAGACCATGAACATGCTCGGAACTCCGTAACCTTACTTGGAGGATCATGAGTAGGTATAAGTATAGTTACCCTAATTGGAACCCTAGTTAATCGGTCCCATGATCCTTTAAGTAAACCCCATGCACCAACTTCCGCTTCTTAGCGTGACCCTTTGAGAGAAATCAAATAGTAGCCTGCAGAGAAATCCTTTATTAGTAACCCTATGCAGTAGCCCTAATTGTGAAGCTATGGTAACCCTTATAATACCCCCAACAAGCTACCCTAAAGCCTAAACCTCAGTGAAGTTATGGTAACCTTATAACACCCCCAACAAGCTACCCTAAACCCTAAACCCGAAACCTAAGTGAAGCTATGGTAACCCTTATAATACCCCCAACAGCGTATGATACCCACAAAAAAGTTGCCCTCATAGTGCGCTTTCCCCTCATCCCGCCTTTCCAAGCTCCTGGCCTGCAACGGCTGAACGGTTTAGGGTTGAGGGGCCTCAATGACTCGAAGCGGGTTTATAGGGTTTAGGGTTTAGGGTAAACCCAAAAAAGTTGGAAACCGGATGAAGGACAAACAGTGCTGGGATTCCCTATACATTCCTCTTAAGGATTGAGGCTACTTGGTTTCCAACTGCTGGGCTTCTGCTATACAGGGGAATTGACCTTAAGTTATAAAAGGACCCCTAATGTGATTTAAGGAATGTTCCTTACATAATTAGAGCTTCTTTGAAAGGAGGACATAGTCTGCTAACCTCGCTGATTGTTCAGACCTCCATAGTACCGACAGTCTGGAACCTTGCACGAGAAGATTCTCAAACCCCACAGCAGCACACGGTATGAGCGTTTCAGTTCTTGTTGGTGCTTCACGGTTTGAGGTTTCAAGCCCAGGGTCTAAAGGTCTACCGCTGAAGCGTCCAAAGATGAGGGTTTAGAGTATTCTGTAAACCCTAAACCCTAAACCCGAAACCAAGACCCGAAACCCTAAACCCGAAACCCTGTCGCAGGCCCTGACCGTGCCGATCACTTTCCTACGCCCTTGGCCCGAACATCATGGGTAGTTATTCGTGGAGTTGTAAGTCCCCTAATATGGGTTATACTTATAGTTACCCCACTTATAACCCCACTTAGAACTACCCATGAACCTCCAAGTGGGGTCCTGGATTCTGCACTCCTGCATAGAAGATACATCGGAACCAGGTGGTTGAAATTAAACCCGAGGCTCAGATTTCAAGATTGGCTGTGGTAAAACCTCACTGGCCCAAAAACCCAAGGGCATAAAAGTTGAAACTTTCAGCATCGACTACCTTATAAGAACCCCAAAAGTTGAAAAGTTGAGTTTACAGCCAACAAGAAACGAAGGTTTGACCTACTTGGGCCCTGGTTGACACGGAGCGCACGGTGCTCGGCAGAGCTTGGGGCTTCAAGCCCTTGCCCCCCCAAGCAGCTAGGACGAGGACTCCTCCAAAACATAACCCCTCAATTAAGCAACAGACCTTAACCTATAAGGGGGGGTTCATAATATGGTTTAAGCCATATTCCTTAGTTAAGGGGTATTGGGCTCTCTGGGTAGCAGCATCATGCGACAACGGTATATTAAAGACTGGCCAAGCGGCGCAATCTGAAGCTTTAGGCACTCCGCTACTCCGTACTGTCTGTTCTATATCTGCACATGAACCCGGTGGCATAGTCTCACTCATTGCTCAGGCCTTTGTAGTATTCAAAGCTGGGAGCCAGTAAGCGTTTGAGGAGACAACGTGAAGGCTTGCGAGGCTTACATGGGAGTTTCCGAAAACTAGGGGTTCCTTACTTCGGGGTCCTTATATTAAGGATCCTACTTTTTAAGGGTACTATATTAGAGTCCCCTCTTTTCGGAAACTCCCACATAGAGCCTTCGGCCTTTGTCAGGCTCTAGGGCTCTGGATTTGGGACTCGGGGTTTAGGGGTTTAGGGTTTAGGGTTTAGGGGTTTAGGAGTTAGGGTTTAGGGTTTAGGGGTTTAGGGTTTAGGGTTTAGGGTTTTAGGGGTTTAGGGTTTAGGGGTTTAGGGGTTTAGGGGTTTAGGGGTTTAGGGTTTAGGGGTTTTAGGGGTTTAGGGTTTAGGGGTTTAGGGGTTTAGGGGTTTAGGGTTTAGGGGTTTAGGGGTTTAGGGGTTTAGGGGTTTAGGGGTTTAGGGGTTTAGGGGTTTAGGAGTTTAGGGTTTAGGGTTTAGGGGTTTAGGGGTTTAGGGTTTAGGGGTTTAGGGGTTTAGGGTTTAGGGGTTTTGGAGTTAGGGTTTCGGGTTTAGGGTTTAGGGCTCTGGATTTGGGACTCAGGGTCTTGAAGCCTGCAAAAACATCTCGCGAATCCCGACCAGAACTCTGAATCCGGCATCGCAATGTTTGTACACCCAGCCCAGAGAGCCCAATACCCCTTAACTAAGGATTATGGCTTAAATTACAAAGGGCTTCATGTTATGATTTAAGCTGTATGCCTTAATTAAGGGGAATCTGGCTCTCTGGGAGCTAGCTGCTCTAGCTAATCACAAGCCTCTGCGAATCCCCTGCCCGACATGCCCTCAGCAGGGCCTTGAACACGAAGTGTGTTGACAACAAAACACCAGCCAGCACACCTGAACCTTACACGCTCAAACCACCAGCCCCTGACTCCCTCCGGATGGGTAACGGTATCACGTAAATCTTCATTAACAAGCCCCCACGGAGGGCGGGATACCAAATCAACCCAGGACCTAAACCCGAATAACCATAACAAATTCGAAAGCCGAACCCCAAGGCGCACAACCCTACACCACACAACCCCAAACCATGAACCCCAAGCCCTAAAACCCTCCAACATCTCATAAGACCCCAACAGACCTCGATAAGATCCTGTATTAAGCCTTGAAACATCCAATAATCATAGACCTACCCCTAAACCCTAAACCTCCTAAACCCCAGTATAATCATGGACCCACCTGCGTCAGTGTAGGCGGCCGGGCGACGGCTGCGAGGAGCTCAAGGGCCTTCAAAGCAAAAGAAGCTTTGAGGGATTAAGGGCTTTTAGGAACCCATATACATCCCTTATAGTAACCCTTATAGACCCCTTATAGTAACCCTTATAGATCCCTTATAGTAACCCTTTTAGATCCCTTATAGTAACCCTCATAGATGGAATGGTAATGGTGCCTTTACTCACCGGCCCAAAGCCCAAGGGAATAAAAGTTGTTTCAGGTTCGACTACCTTATAAGACCCCAAAAGTTGAAAAGTTGAGTTTACAGCCAAAAAGTATAGGTTTTTAAGGGCACCTTTGAGGGTAGGGTTTAGGGCTTAGGCTTGAAGGTGTAGGGTTTAGCCGGGTTTCAGGCTTCAGGCTTGCGGGTTGAGGGTTCGGGGTTCAGGAGCTCCGGAACGAGAGATAATGAAGCACAGGTGTATGGTATACTCAAAGGGCTCCAAGGGCGGGATCAAACTATCATACTAGACAGTAACATGCCATGCCACACACAAGCCACACGAACGACACATACCACACATGTCCTACATACCATCCATACATACGCACGTGCACACATAGACACACTACCTACGGACTTGCCTACCTACATACATAAACACATACATACATACATGCATATGTACATACATGATGCCTGCGTGTACCCAACAGGTACGCATATGCTCGTACTGATGGTGCAGACCCTGCTGCCCGAAACCCTGAACACAAACCCGAGCCCTGCTTGAACAAACTCTGCGGTTTCCTCAGGCACCCCCCCCCTCTGTATGCTAAACTCACCCACAAACCCCCCCCAAGTCACCTCCGGACATCGACGGAGAAAGGCGCGAAACTCTCGAACGTCCTGGCGCCAGCCCTTTAAAGGGATGGGCCGTGGAGTGTTTAGGGTTCCAGTGCGGCTGCAGTGCTCAGAGGTGCTTCTGCTGTTGCTGCTGCTGCCACCACTACTGCCATTGCTAATGTCACCGCCACTGCTCCTGCCACCCCTCCGGCTGCTGCTGCCACTACCGCTATCACTACTGCTACTGCTCCGACGACTGCTACTACTACTACTACTACTACTGCTGCTGCTACCACTACAGCTACTACTGCTACTACTGCTACTATGGCACTGCTACTACTGTCACTGCTACTACTGCTACTACCACTGCATTTACTGCTGCTACTGCTGCTACTACAACTGGTGCTACCACTGCTACTACTGCTGTGACTGCATCTGCTACTGCGACTGCTCCCGCCCCTGCTACTACTCCGACTGCTGCTTCTGCTGCTCCTCCTACTCCTACTCCTACTCCTACTCCTACTCCTACTCCTACTCCTACTCCTACTCCTACTCCTACTCCTACTCCTACTCCTACTCCTACTCCTACTCCTACTCCTACTCCTACTCCTACTCCTACTACTCCTACTACTCCTACTACTCCTACTACTCCTAATACTCCTACTACTCCTACTACTATTTTTCAATTGAACGCTGCGCGAGCGTGCTCTGCGCTTTGCGGGCGCCTTTGGTCTCGTGCACTCGTGAAACTGTTGTTAGCAAAACATCGCTCGGACCTCTCAATCTGCTCAGACTACCCAGTAAAGTTACAACCATGGCTTCTTCCTCCGACACCTTTTTGTGAACAGACGCGTCCATCTGTGCACCTGTCCCAGCAAATAGGCCGTACCTCGTAAGAAGCCGACACCTGGAGTATCCGTCTCGTGGCGGCCCACACGGATTACTCATGCTGTTGACAGAAGGCCGTAAGGATCACGTGTGCGTACCTGCAGTACCTGCAGAGCTGGTTGAGTCAGACTGCAAAAGCTGACTGAACGGATCAGCTCAAACGTAGTGCAGAGACCTGCATTTTGCTTTTGTTGATCGCTCAGCACTCCAGCTTCCGAAGAGATGTGCAGAGTCGTCGGAAGAGCATCGAATTCCCAGAGGCTGTGCCATACGGGATTAGTGTAGTCTGTGACATTGCTCTAGGTTCACTTGTGGTGACCTTGCGGCCACTGCGGTGAAGAGTGGTAGTAGCAGTGCCAGGACCACTGTTGCCACCAGTCCCAGTCTTCTTCCTGAGTGGTGCCTGCCGGCCTGGACCACTGACTGGAGGAAGAGGAGGAGGGGGCATCGCGTTGGCGTTTGCCCTCTGTATCGGCCTCATGCACCTGCGGGCGCTTGTTGGCCGCTGCCAATTTGGCCATTCGCCTATCTTCCTCAATCCCCTTGTCATGCTGAATTCTCATCTTCATGACGGAGTAAGCATCCTTGTTGGGCTTGACCCTAAACATCCTAGGTGGGAGGCCTGCGGATTTCGCAGTTTCGTTGTAAACCGTCATCATGGTAGTAGCGATCATGTTGAATTCAATTCGCGTTGGGAAGTGACGCTGGAATTCTTTCTCTTCCCATAGCCTATTGAAACAAGCATGGATCAGGCCATGCACCTTTGTGGGAGCATCCAGTTCCTGATATGCTGCTCCAGAGCCTGTGGCTATGGTGACTCGGCCGTCACTTGTTAGGACCCGCCGCACAGACATGGCGGTGTCCCATGTGAGGCCGGATTGAATCTTGACAGACTTGATGGCGGAGAAGAGCGGGGGCACCTGGCTGAGAGCCTCCACTCGTGTGGACCAGAGGTTCTGCTGCTCTTGGTTGGTGAGGCCGCCCAGGATAACCGGAGCCACCAGGATGTTGATGGAAGCCAGTGCTCGGATCCAGTCCTGGTGGGACTGAGAGCTCAGCAATTGAGCTAGCTCCAGCCTCGTGTATTTGACCTCTGTGTGGGGGGCGGGTTGTGGGACATAGCCAACTGGTTCAGCATTCTTTTCCGGTGGCTCGTAAGCTGACGGGGGGCGAGATGAGGGAGGGGGAGGCGTGAGAGGACGCTGGGAGGCCGGGGCTGCTTGTTCTGATTGTGCCTTGGGGGGGGGGCAGCCTTGGGGGGGTGAGGAGGGGGAAGCAGGGATAGCTGGTGGGGGAGCCGGCGCCGTAGGCAAGAAGGAGCCTGCTGGAGGCTGGAGGTTCGAGGTGGCCACCTGGGGTGGTGGAGCTTTGACCGGAAGTGTGGGGGACGACCGCGGTGCTATCGCTTGACTCTCCTTGTGGGCCGCCTTCGCCGCAGTGGAAGTGAATGGGCATGGGGAGCGGCCTTGTCGGATCCTTTGGTGCGGGTGCGACTGGGAGGGAGAGGAATCTCCTGCGGTGTGGTTGGCTTGGCGGGAGGAGGAGGGTTGGGTACTCAGGCGGTGGCGGTCCAGGCTCCTTGTACTGCAGGTTGTGCCACAGGGTCATGCTTCTGCGTGACAAAGTGGTTCTTGATGCCATGGCCTGTGCTGAACTGGACGCGGCGGTTATGCTTCCGACAGTGGAGGCAACATAGCCACATGGATCCTGAAACTTCCATTTGTCCTAGTCCTCGAGGAATGAGTTCCAGCACATCCTGCTCCGTGAGGTCTTGATTGTAGTGGTGGGTGTCGCGGACAGTGGCCATGATCTCCACAAAGGAGTTGTTCTGGATGCTGTCTGCCACGTATGTTTCGATCTCCTCCTGTGTGGGAGGGGGAGGTGCCGCAGTGGCCGTAGCCGTGGTCTGTGACCTAGGCGGCTGAGGTGAGCTGTGCTCTATGGACCTGTTGTCAACCTGGATTTCCAGAGAAATGTCTGGAACCTGGCTCTGCAACATTCGGTTCGTTCGCTCTTTTGTGGTAGGATCTCCTTGAAATCCCTTGGACCACTTCCAGCATCTGGTGTAGGCGACCGTGGTGTTGTTGGCCGAGACGAAAAAATGTCCGTCGTTGTCATGAGTTTTGCCCTTCACGCGTCGGTCCCATCGTTCCTGGAACAAGTAGACCGGACCAAATTTGGCTGAGACGTTCCAGCCGTGCTGGGGGGTGTGGCCAAGATCCCGGCCCAAGGTCTGCCATAGAAATTTGCAGAAGGTCATATAGTCCAGATTGGCCTTGGCCGTCAGAACTTGACGGCTGAAGGCGTGTTGTATGGCCTCCCTCATCAGAGGGTGTCGGGGCTTGCCGTAGATGATGCCCTGAAAGATGTGGTCTGCTTTGACTCCTATGGCCATGACCATGAACTCCTGTGGGAGTTGGCCAGGTGGGGAGGGTCTGTGACCCACTTCACCTGCCTTGGTTGAGTGAGCTGTGCTCCAATCTGCTGCCATGAGTTGTAGTACCTGTTCCCAAGGTACCACAAAGCCACATTTAATATCTACGTAGAGGCCGCCGTGTTGGTAGTGGTAAACGTAGCGGAAGACATCAGCTCGGTGAGCCGGCTGATTGAGGCGATCCAGCAGATTGGAGCCGTATTTTCCCGCGAGTTGCACCAGGGTGGCCCGGAGAACTCCGTCATCACAAAATTGGCGGGTGAAGCCCCCGAACATCTTGGCCGCAACTTGTGCAGGCTCCGGCTTTTCATCGTGAACGTAGGTCTGAAAGAGAAGCGGCGGGACGGTAGCAGCCTTCCATTCCGGGAGATACTGAAATCGCATGCCCCAGGGCCCATGTCCGTATTGCGTGGCTACCTCAGAGAGGTCTCGCACGGTGCGGCACTGGGACAGTGCCTGGGCTGCCAGCATTTCGATGTGCATGTCTTGCTGGCGAGCATTCCATCCTGCAATCACCAGAATAGGTAAACCCGGTCTGGTGCACATTTCCTCGATGGCTCTGGTGACGAGCGCCGGGATGACTATATCGGCAACCTCCGGTCGAAAGTGGAGGTTTTTGGTGTTGTAGAGTTGCGCCGTGCCTCCGACTTCAGGCAGGTTTGCCAGGTCCATGATTTCCTGATTGTGCAGGTTTTTGTCCGCAAATCCATATTGGACCCTGCCGTCTATCAGGCAGTCGTAGTTGACTTGCTTCTCCGGGCGCAGGCTTCGAGACAATGGAATGAAGCGGACATTGACCTGCCCGTTGAGGTGATGCTCCAGAATGGAGGCCACCTCCGGACTTTGGACTGCTGCTTTGAAACGGATCGGCTCAAGAAGCCCAAATTGCCAGTGAAGTAGTTCCATGATGGAGGGGACGCTGTTTGCCGAGATGTTGAGGGCGGCACCTGGGCAACTGAGGACCTGTCCCGTCAGCAGGGGGAACACTCCATAGGTGTGTCCCCGTAGCATGTGCTGCAGGGTGCTGTCGCTAAGCACCAGGAAAGGCCCCAGACTGGGAGGGGCGTCCATGGTAGCAGCTTGAGGGCTGCTGGGCCAGAGTCTGTGACACGCGGCCAAGGGTGAGCTGTGCTCTCTGTTAATGTTGTACTGCTCAGAAGCACAGCTAGTTCTGCTAGCTGACATGCAAAGTAGAAACCTCAAGCAGAAGGTCTAGCTCTTACCAGCGGTTGCTAGCAGTTTCCTCTGACAGCTGCGGGTGTGCAGGTCCAGGTACAGCATTGCTTATGAAGCATGACATGCTGGCAAACTGAGAGCTTCACTGCTGACTTCCAGACTAGCAACAACCAGCAGAGGGCACTCGAGCAAGCGATAGAAGTGGCGTAACTTGTCGTCGTGACCTCAGGATGCGAAAAGAGGTGACTTTGGTGCAACTAGGGCTATCGTGATATGCCATGTGGCTTGCAGTCAAAGGCTGCAAATTTTTTCCTGGCAGGCAGGTAGCCTTACTCAGTATAGCAAGAAAGAGTGGCTGTGCCACACCTGGAGAGAGGCTGTGCCATATTCCTAGAATGGGATTCGTGCCTGTAGCAAGGACTCAGGCGAACTCAGGAAAACAGCTTTAGTTGTGGCCAGAATGAGCCCAGTGAACCTCGTCATCCCTGCTTGCCGCATCAGCATACCCGAAGCTGCCAAGGGGATTGAGAATCCTCTGTACCACGACGTGGTGGCGATGCTGGATATGGATGAGGATCTCCTCAGTTGCGAGGTATCGTTGAGGTGTGACGAAGGACTGTACCATGGCTTGAATTTCAAGAGCCATTGCTGCCCTGGCCGTGCGCCAACTGTTGACGAAGGGTTTGTACTGGACCAAGGGGAGTACGGCACGAAACCAGGTTCTGCTGACGGTCGCCATGGACATGGCCGTCAGTAAGTCTGGATGCAATATTGCGAGCCTGACATGAACTCCTTGCCGGTCGTAGTCAACGTCTATGTATCGTTCTGCAAAGATTGCAACGCCGTCGTAGGAGCGGCTGAAGGCCCACAGGCGAGCTTGCGCTTGGATCTCATCCCTGAGCTGCAGGATGGGGAGAAGAGTGCTAGGCGGTACGTCATTGGCAGGGTCGAGCTCCAGTGTTTCTCTGTCCAGGCCAGCCTCTGAGTAGAAGTCCACTATGACAGCCCTAAACCCTAAACTCCTACTACTACTACTACTACTACTACTACTACTACTACTACTACTACTACTACTACTACTACTACTACTACTACTATACTACTACTACAACTACTACTACTACTACTACTACTACTACTACGACTACTACTACTACGACTGCTACTACTACGACAACTACTACTACTACTACTACTACTACTACTACTACTACTACTACTACTACTACTACTACTACTACGACTGCTACTACTACTACTACTACTACTACTACTGCTACTGCTACTGCTACTGCTACTGCTACTGCTACTGCTACTGCTACTTCCACTGCTGCTGGTACGTTTGGAGCTCTTAGGACGATTCCTACTCCTTCTAGAGACTAGTCAACATCATGATGAAGAGAAAGAACGATGTCATCCCAAAGCTGCTGTTTCTGCCAGCACCATCAACATGGGTAGTTGTCAAAATTAGGGTCCCTGTTGGGGTACCCTAAGTATATTAGGTGCCGTATTATAATAAGGACCCAGAAAGGGACCATACTTTTGACACCCACCCACCCACGTCAAAATTGCTGTTGCTCTGTGTAGTACCAAGCTCCTCCGCCAGGTGCCGCACGCAGAGGCAGCCCTGTCAGCAAGACTTCAGGCCTACGGTTTAGGGTATAGGGTTTAGGGGTTTAGGGTTTAGGGGTTTAGGGGTTTAGGGTTTAGGGTTTAGGGTTTAGGGTTTAGGGTTTAGGGTTTAGGGTTTAGGGTTTAGGGTTTAGGGTTTAGGGTTTAGGGTTTAGGGTTTAGGGTTTAGGGTTTAGGGTTTAGGGTTTAGGGTTTAGGGTTTAGGGTTTAGGGTTTAGGGTTTAGGGTTTAGGGGTTTAGGGTATCATGTGGGTGCCTTGACACCTGAAACTCGAACTCCCCAGTTGCGGAACCCTAAACCCTCCTAGTTCCAATCCTGGAACCCTGAACCCTACATCGCCTTTCCACTCCTCCCCTGAGGGTTTACCTGAACCATGAAGGACCTACCTTTTTAAGGACTTATATAAGGAAATCAGAATAAGGAACCCTAAAAAGGTAGGATATTCAGGGTTAAGGTAGGGTTTAGGGCACGATTTCGGGCTCGTGGCGTATACAAACGACTCTCCCAGCCGGATCGTCGAAAGTTAAGGAGGCTTTTTTTGGTCTTTTTCAAAGGGGAAAAGGAGGGACCCTGAATGGGGACCCCTACCCTATAATGGGCTATATAATGGGCTATATTACCTAGGGGTCCTTATGAAGGGTCCTTCCTTTTACCCTTTTGTAAGAGTGCTGCTGGACACTGTAAGGGTTCTATAGAGAGTCGGTGCGTACTTGGGCGTTGGGGCTTTCAGGTTCATGTCGGTTTAGGGCTGCGTTGACGGATGAAGAGTATGCTGAACAGTAAGGGTTACTTAGAGATTTGGCATCAGATATGGGTGCAAGTATAAGTGCTTAATTATTAACCCTGAACGCGCCTAAGCCTAAACTCCAAACCCTAAATCGTAGACCCTAAATCCTATAAGGTCTGTGAGCGCCTTCATGGACACCGTGTGGTTCAAGGATGTCACGCACCTCGGAGATGATCTTGCAGGGCTTCGAAATCCTACTTGATGGTTCATGGGTAGTTATACGTAGGGTTATATGTAGGGTAAGAATAATTATAACCCATATTAGGGGACTTACAACTCCACTTATAACTACCCATGAACCTCCAAGTATGGGGTTTTGTAAGGATGCTATGGGTGTTATAGGGTTTTACAGGGTTCCGGAAAGGTTCTAGCAGAGTCCTTCACGGGTGCCACAAGGGATGTTGGGCTGTAGGGCTAGCTAGGGCTTTAGGGATGAAGGGTCTTGGGGGTGCAAGGTGTCTTTGAGCCCTACATCCTAAACCCAACCGTTCTGACCCCAAGCCTGCCTTTACAGGCTTACACCGGAGTTGGGTGAAACCTTCATCCGTCGGGGTGTAAGGCTTAGGGTCCAAGGTTTAAGATGTTGGGTTTTGGGTCTTGGGTTTAGCTTTGGGGATTTAGGATGTTAGGCTGTGGGCTATGGGGTTCAGGGTTCGTGGAATGAGGACGAATGAGAGTTATTAGGGGCCGAGGACGCAAACCTGTTGGGGCCTCGTGTGCGAGTGTAGCAAAATCTCGGACGCTGGATGCGTATGCGTTTAGAACTTGACGCTAAGGATTCATACAGGTCTATAAGGCTGTTACTTGCTTTCTTTGGGGGTTTAGGGTTCCTAACACCTAGACCCTAGACCCTAGATCCCAAACTAGGGTTGAACTTAGGGTTCAGAAATCTGCGAAAGATCGGGAGGCTAAGGGTCCTGGCCTCCCAGTGCTTTAAAAACATCTGGCATCGGGTGCTCCCTCAGAACCTCACACTCTACCCCAGCCATGGCTTGTAGCCAGAGGTCCGATAGTCTCTTTCTTTTTATTAGGTTTGTATAGGGATTGGAGGAAATTAAGGTAGGGTCTAGGGTTTAGGGTTTAGGGTTTAGGGTTTCTGGTTGTTTCTGGCTTTGTCGGACGTTAAGGGTTTGGGGCTTTAGGTCGGGGCACGTCATCAGGTGTTCCGCGAGGTCCTCGATGGCATCCGGGTACTGCTCGGCATCATCACAGATGGCCTGCGCAAGAATCGCATTCCTTGAGAGTTCGAGCTTGGGCCCTGATCTCTAATCCCTAAGCCTGTAAGCCAGAACCGTGCAATCCCAAATCCTGTGCCTAGACCCCAATGCATAAACCCTACAAGCCCAAACCAGAAGACTCATGTCCGTGGCCAGCTGGACGCGAGGCTACCATCAGCTCCTTTTGAATCGATCCTTCCACTGTGAGAGCACAAATTCAATTCAGGATTTGCGACTTAGAAGCGCTTCAGCTTCAGCTGGACAGACTCAAGACTGCCCTCAATCTAAAAGGGTTTGTATACGAAGCCGAGGAGCTGATAAGATCAGATCTGAGGAGTGATGAAGTCAGCGTCTGGCCAGCCATAAATGCCCTACAGGTAGGAAGAAATCCAGCACACCTGCCTCCCTACCTGGCTATCCAGGAAACGTCCACTTTCTGTGGACCAAAAGAGGAAGAGAGCTCGCCAAGTGAAGGTTTCTACGTCCACGGCGGGTCCTCACTCCCATTGCATCAAAACTTGCAGAAGGCTGTACATTAGCGCGATGGGTGCACGGTGTGCGTCAACAGCACTTCGCCATCATAGTTGATGGACTCAATCAAAATCTCCGACTTGCTGATGGTGAGGTCATAGAAGCCATACTGCCCTTCGCCGTACCAGTCCTCGGTCTCCTCGGGATTCGGCGTGGCCTCGGAGGTGATGCCGCCACCACCACCGGTCACGATGCATGTGACGCCCATGTGATTCTTGGCATAGTCATCCGGAAGCCAGAGCTCCTGATCATGTCGGTGCCCCGTCACAAGCAGGTCCATGCCCAGGCCCTGAAGGGACTTGTAGAAGTCCTGCTCATGTCCACAGGGGAAGTGGGTGACGACAATCTGCCAGTTCGCCTTACTCTGTCCCATGAGCTGCGTGACCCATGGCTTCTGCTCCGCCCAAAGCGAGGCGAACCAGCCCGGGCAGGCATCCACGGACTCGGGGCCATCCGCTGCCGCGCAGGAGGCGGAGGGCTTGTTGTTCTTTCGACTGCACATGTTGTGGTTGGGGTCCTCCTCTGGTGGCATGGCATCGATGAAATTGGAGTCCAAGAAGAAGTAGTCCACGTCGAAGCCGAGGTCTGCATAGACGACAGAGGTCTTGTAGTAGGGAGCCGGCATGACCCAGCGGTTGCTAGCCCAGGTATAGGAGATCTGCTGATCCCAGCCGTTGTCGAACTTGAAGCCTCCCCAATCGTGGTTGCCCAAGACGCTGAACCAGGGCTTGTTGGTGAGGCCGGCCCCCTGATAGACGCCTTCGAAGATCTGATCGAACTGGTGCTTTGTTGGGTACGAGATCTGATCCATCGGACTCCCACATGTTTTCTCAATACCACCCCAATAAAAGTTGTCACCTACGTTGAGGATGTACTGTGGGTCGACGAGAGCAGCGCGGGCTTTAAAGGCATTGGCCACCAGAAGCTGCGGCTGATCATCTACGCCTGCCACATAGCCACACTCTGGGGTGCACGGAGCCTGACCGCGGGTGTTGAAGCATTCCACGAGCTGCTTGTGGTCGCAGAACTGCACAGTGTGCATCTTGTTCCAGCGGCTCCTGGGGAAGACGCTGGGTCCAGGCCGACGTCCCCAATCGTAAGCCACAATGGTCTTCCGGCCCTCTGGTGGGTCTAGCGAGCCGTCCATGCCGCCCCAGTCGCCAATAGCAAAGATGTGCATCTCTTGAGTGCCGTGGATAACCGTGGTTGGCCAGTGCTGACCCTTGTACCCCAAGGCAGTCTTTGGCGGAACGCACCCAACGCCCTTGTCATTCCCATCGCAGCCAGGGCGAAGGCTGGAATATAGCTGGTTGCCTGCGAAGCAGTCGCTGCAAGGCGGATTGCTGCATCCCGTGCAAGGCGGCAGACCACAGAAGGAGTCCCCGGGCGGAGAGCAGTAGTAGAGGCGCTGGAAATCCTGCAAGGTGCCCTGCTCGTGGTTGACGCCGGTGATGCTGGGCATGTTTTTGTACCATCCCCCGGCTGCGCTGTCCCACTTGCCTAGCTCATTGTTGGGATAGGATCAAAAATGTACATCTTTATTCCTTATTGGGTTTAAGTACCTCTAAAAAAAGTAAAATGTTAGCCAACTGTGACAAAGTTGCCACCACCGGCCGCCCACTCGACCACTTGCTTGCACCCCGCATTCTCCGGCAAATCGAGCCCACCACAGCGTGCACCCTGGGAGCTCACTTCCACCGACTGCTTGCCTAGCGGAAGGCAGCAAACCGCAAATCCCAAAGAGGCCTGGATCTGTCTAGTTCTCCAGTGTCTATCCAAGTTCTACTCACTCTGATCGAAAGCAATGCGGACGCAAACTTGAAGGTTCATGGGTAGTTGTACGTGGGGTTATAAGTAGGGTAACTATATTTATAACCCATATTAGGGGACTTATAACTCCAATTACAACTACCCATGAACCTCCAAGTACTACACGTACGGAGCAGGGAACCTTGACAGCAAAAGGCTAGGAGCTTGAAACCACATGCCCTTGAGATTTTTTACCACTCCTTAGCATCAGGTCACTCCTATCCCGAACCCTCAACTCCTGAAACAAACTTAAAACTCCTGAAACATGTTTAAAACCCTCAGAACCCTCAACAACCTTCAAGAACTCCTACAAAAAACACCCTCAAACCACAAAAAAACAGCGTCAAGAACCTATGAAAGTGCTCCGAGACACTCAGAAAGTGAGAAGATCGGTTCACCTGCGCTGCTGACAGGACCGAAACCCGAAGACCAAAGCCTAAAACGTGGGGTCTAAGGTCTTGGGTTTAGGGTTTAGGGATTGGGGTTTAAGGTCCTGGGTTGAGGGCTTTCTTGGTTTGGGATATAAGGCTCACACTACAACCCATGCACAACATGCTTCAATCCACCGAAATACGTGCAAACTTCGCAACATAGGATTGGATAGTTGGTCTAGGTTACTCGAGTACCTTCTTTTTCTAAAAACATTGCAAGCTTTGCTCGCCTGCGCCGCTGTTGGCAGAGCGAGTCCAAGGATAAGCCACGACGCCACCATGGCTTTGATCTCACCACTCCTTGGCTGAATCAGGTCCCCCGTTTGAAGGGAGATTCTGCCCCCCCCCGTAACTATGCTGAACTTAGACCCCTAGAAATTCATATTAGGGATCCTACTATAATTTAAGGAATATTCCTTAATTAAGGGATATTGGAGTCTCTGGACACCAAACCCCAAACTCCTGGTTCTTGAAGTTACCACAGCTTAAGGTTCCATGAAGGGTTCTAAAAAGGGTTTAGGGGTGAAGGAAATTAAATTCAGTTGCCATCGTAGGAACCTATTATGGTAACCTAAATTAACTCCCTTAACAAGAACCCAGCAAGCCCTCAACCCCTAAACCTTTAAACGTAGAACCCTGAACCTCGAATCTGTGCTATTGAGGGAAGCGGCTCACGGGCTTCAGGTCTTTTGCCTGAGTAAGAGCCACCTCTTTGCGTCGTGCGGAGAGGAAAATCGGACTCGGTGCGAGCCCGAAATGGCAGAGCGGACGTCAAGGATCCCACTGTCTGGAATTCGGAAGGGGGAGGTCACAGTACAACGACTATCAAGGATTGCTGTTGCAAGTGATTCACGCTCCTCTGCCCCTAGGTGATTGATTTTTGAAGATGCTGGTTGCATGGCCCGCCTTTTTTGCGAATTTGGTGCTGCAGGGCTCGACTGGAGGGATCACTAGTAAGACTGGAGGCTGAAATCATGTTATCCTAACCAGAATAAGTCCCCCGAGCGTCTAAAAATCCTCCTCGATCGAGTCGACACCCGATCTTGAAGCTTCAGAAAATTCGGGACCCCCCAAAAATGCCCAAGACCCTAAACCCTAAGCCCTTTAGCCTGCATAAGAATGCCCCCCGATGCATCCAGACGAAGCTCCCTCTGTAGCGCTCATGAAGCGGTTTAGGCTTTAGGGGTCTAGGGTTTAAGGGTCCAGGGTTTAGGGTTTGGGAGTTTAGGGTTTAGGTGCTTAGGGTTTAAGGCCCTAAACCCTAACCCTAAACCCTGAACCATGAATTCCTGCCTTGAACAAGTACCCTGGCACCGGCTTGTCGTTCGCGGCGGTGGCCTCACTTGGCCAACCAGAAGTCCTTATAAGAAGGATCCTACTATTTAGGATACTGCTAGTAGGGTCCCCTATTTTCTGAAACTCCCTTATAGGTAACCCTAACAGAGCCCTGCATGAGTTGAAGGCTTAGGGTATAGGGTTCAGGGCTCCAGACGGTGGTAACCCTAAACCCTAAACCCCCAAACCCTAAACCCCTGAACCCTAAACCCCTAAACCCCTAAACCCCTAAAACCCTCAAGCCTAAACCCTAAACCCCTAAACCACAAAACCCCTAAACCCCTAAACCCCTAAACCCTAAACCCTTAACGGAGGCCCAAGCTTTACAGCTTAGCATTGGAGAACTAGGAACATGGTGCTGCTTTAACGTCGTGGTCCGTGTCAGAGCCATGGATAGGCAAAGCTACTTTTCCATAGGCACCTAGATGCTTAGGCAAAGAAAGCACCAGCTTAAGGAAACTAAAGTGGGAGTTTCCGAAAATGGGGGACCCCAATATAATACCCTATATAGTGGGATCCTTATTGTGAGGACCCCCCAAAATAAGGTACCCCTAATTTCCGGAAACTCCCAACTTAAGACATCCTGTTAGCACGATCATGGAAACCTATAGGCTCCACTTGCCACCATCCTACGACGTCAAACTCGACTCGGATCACCTGCAGGCGCCCGACTGCGTATGTGCATATGTATGTATGTATGTATGTATGTATGTATGTATGTATGTATGTATGTGTATATATATATATATATATATATATATATGTATATATATATATATATATAGTTTTATGTATTTATTTATATGCACATATATCTAAATCTCTCTCTCTATA